TGGAGTCCCCTGGCTTGTACATGCGTGTGCTTTGTTCTGTTCTCCAGTCTCTGGGAACACCTGCCAGAAAACCCTTTAGCTGAGTTCTCCAAAACACTTTAATGTTCAAAATAGTAATTAGAGAACTCTCAATGACGGAGCTGACAAAACCTTTCAGGCCTTTCAGTGTTGCTAAGGAAATTCAGCTGGGAATATATTTGTGTCTTAGTCAAGCTGTGTGGACAGAGCTTGCATAAGGAGGCTACTGGTGTTTTTTTGGAGGAAGGGTTCTTTTGGATAACAGTTGTTCTTAGTTACTCTTTCTCAGTGAAAAAGCACACTACCATGCTCTCCTCTGTTCATTTTATTCTGGAACTCACAGGCCAGGATGATACCTGCACATTTCAGGCCAAAAGGTAAAATGAGTTTATAAAAAATAAGTTTTCAGCCTTCCATTAAAGGAAAGTTGGAGGATTAGGCGTTCTTTTGGGCAGAGTTGGTGAACATACTTGACTTGGGGCTTTCTAGTCGCTAAAGTGAGTAGAGGAAAGCAGAGAATTGCATAGTTTGTGTGTTGACAACCAGAAAGCACGTAAACATGTGCAGAAACCAAACATTTCCTGGAATTAAACCCAAGCAGAAACGTGTCACGTGGACCTTTGTTTAAAGAGTCTGGTGAAAAATATCTTCAACCACAGTTACATAATAGGTCCAAGAGCACAGTGCAGTGAGCCGGGTTCTCCAGGAGGTGGCCAGGAGGCCCAGTGTGTCCTAGGCACAAGGCAGGTGAGCGGAAAGGAGCTCGGACCTGAGGCCAGGGCCTGTGCTGTTCGTAAATCACAGGAGAGAACTTTAATGGGATCATCTGATTGGCTTTCTGCGGGATGCCAGATGTGGTCCATGTTTCTTCCCATAGCATTCTCCTCAGCCCAACAGTGATCCAACCAGGTCTTGTTTGATTAATGTGAATGAAGCCCTGAAGAAAGCAGAGAATATTTCCCAAGGAACCCTAAGGGCTGGCGTTTGCCCTCACAGAAGTCTGGTTCACTTCTGAGACAAGGTAACAGTCCTGAGTCTTTGAATGCTTTCCATTTTTTTCCATTTAGGTTTTTGAACACAGTATCTTAGCCTTTCATAACTAATGTAATGGGGGCAGAAACAGCTTTCACCCTTTGTGAGGGACGGCTGCAGCCAATGCCCGTCTGAGAGAATATGATCATAGAAGGGTAGTTTCTTTTAAGAACCATGTCCTCCCTTGAGTTGATTAGGTGTGATGGTTTGAATAAGAATGACCCCCATCAGCTCATATATTTGAATATTAGTCATCCAAAAAATGTGTTAGTTCTGAAAATGTGCCTGAGGCTAAATTGAGGAGTTTTGGATTAAGGGTGTTGGCAGAGGAGATTTCAAGACACACTTGAGAGATTGCCATGAGTCTCAGAGATTTTGAACTTCAGTCTTTTGATTGAGACTATGGGGACTTTTGAAATTGGACTGAATGCATTTTTGCATTATGATATGCTACAACTTATGGGGACCAGGGAGTGGAATGTGGCAGTTTTAATAAGAATGGCCCTATAGCTCATTGAATGCTAGTCACCAGGGATGGCAGTATTTGAAAGAAGTAGGAGATGTGGCCTTGTTGAAGGCAATGTGTCACTGAGGGTTGTAGGATTTGAGGTTCAGAAGCCCATGCCAAGCCATGTCTCCCTCGGCCGAGGATCAGGATGTATCTGATGTACTTCTCCAGCATTGTGCCTGCTGCCTTGCTTCCCACCAGGGGATAATTTCTGAAATTGTAAGCCAGTTGCCTGGGTCATGGTGTCTTCACAGCAATAGAACAGTGACTAAGACACCAGGGTACTGTACTGGCTGGTTTTGTGTGTCAGCCTGACGAGAGCTAGAGTTATCAGAGCAAGAAGCCTCAGCTGAGGAAATGCCTCCATGAGATTCAGCTGTAAGATCTTCTCATTTAGTGGCCATTGAGGGAGGGCACAGGCCATGGTGGGTGGTGTCATCCCTGGGCTGGCAGTCCTGGGTTCTGTAAGAAGGTGGGCTGAGCAAGCCAGGAGAAGCAAGCCAGCAAGCAACTCCCCTCCATGGCCTCTGCATCTTCGGGATCCTGCCCTCTTTGAGTCCCTGTCCTGACTTCCTTCAGTGGTGAATAGCAGTGTTAAAGTGTAAGAAACCTCCCCCCCCCCCTTGCTTTTTTGGTCATGGTGTTTTGTTGCAGCAATAGAAACCCTAATTAACACAGTTACGTTAACTCAAAAAATAAAAAAAAATACCCTAGCCTGTCTTGTATTTCGCATATAGATGCTAATTACCAACTGCCCACAATGGTAAACGTGAGCACTAATTTCTGCTACTTGGGGTCTGTATCATGCCTACACAGCAGTATGAGAGGATTGCTAATGTGGTTTAGCAGGGCTCCATGGGTAGCTCTCAAGTCTGCATACACGTGTCTGTTATTTATCTACCTACCTACTTACCTATCTATTTGTACTGTGATTGAACCCAAGACCCTGTGTAAGCAGCCAGTGTATCCCCAGGGACAGTTCTGAAGATCTTAGTGTGGTGTTTATATGATAATCTGACAGAAAATTGTCTCTCCGCTAAGTGCTTGGGACAAGTCATGTTCCTCCTAAGATTCCCAGCATGGAGTAACTAGAGATAGCTTTGTATTGACAAACCCTGTTTGCTGAGCTGTAGCCCCTGCCTTTGGCTTTCTGAGCCAGGGTTCTAACTATCTAAATTCAAGCTGTGTTTGGAACTTGCCACAGTCCTCCCCGCCTGCCTCCTGAGTGCTAGGATACAGGCGTGTCTGCTGCACATGGCCATATGAAGTGAAGGGGCAAGTGTGGGTTAAGTACCCAGCACAGTTGATGGATGATGACCACACACTTTTCTCCTAAGTCTTTGTTTTGTAGTGTTACACTTCTGGGACTTGAACCCAGGGCTTTGTAAGTGCTGTGTCATGAGCCACAATACTGTCCTTGCATTAAGTTTTTATGCTACATCATTTACATGTATATTTCTAGGTCTTTTGGATCCATCCATGTTTCCTATCCTGGTTTTATCAGTTTGGATTTATATTGATATTTAAGGAAAACAGTGACACAGTGATGTGTTTTGTGGGGTCTTTTGGTGTATGTGTTCTTTTTTGAGATGGTTTGTGTATTATGTAACTCTGGTTGTCCTGGAACTCACTCTATAGATCAGTGATTCACCTGTTTCCCAAGTACAGGATTAAAGGTGCGCACCACTATGCCCAGCTGACGGAGTCTACTATCCTTCTAGAGTCGGTTAAGAGCAAGCAGAGGCTTATAGTCTGGGGGCTGTAGAAGTGCAGTATTAAGAGATGGGCTTGCACACGAAGTTGTTGAAAACATTGAGCTGTGGAATGGATGAGCTAGGCAGTTACAACACCTGAAAGACTTGAAGAGCCTGTGAGAAGAGAGCGGCCACAGTGAGACCTCTCCCTCTTTGACCACCTAGGTGTATGGTTTACACAGCTGTGTTGTCTCCTATGCAGCATGTAGCAGTCAGTGTAGCTCACGAAGGCTTTGTCATATGCAAAATATGGAGGACGTAGAAATGGAGGGCAGCATGATGGCTCTTGGGGTGGAGCTATGATGCCATCTCTGATAGGAAGGACTGGCATTGTGGAGGGATCAGTCCCACAGAGGGAGCTGAGAAAGCCATAGGCAGAGGGGATCTGAGAACAGGGCACTGAGGAGATAGCAGGATCTCATGGAACCGGTGAAAAGTTCCAAGGGACAGTGTTGAGTTTGTAGCGTGCTAAGGTGTGACCTGGTGAATGGATTAGAGGGACAGGGATGGAGCACAGCATGTCAGGTGAAAAGATAGCCTCTGTGAACACTGCTTAGGCTGAAACACTGCAGTTCAGGTTAAACATGCAGCAGAGCGCAGCCTCCATTTAACAGACCATCCTCGAGCCTCACGGGTTTCCTAGCAGGCGCAAAGAACACTTTGTTAGTGTCACTAGAGAAGGGTCAGCTGAAGGGTAGTGCTATCAGGTGGCTGACATGAAATCAAGCTTTGAAAATGCATTTGAGAAAACTTAAAATAATGAGATCATGCTAACCTTTTTCTTAGAAAAAAATAACAGTTAAGACCAGTGTGAGAGAAGACAGTTGTCTGCTAGGGAAAAAGTGGCGGTCCATTACAGTGTACACCCAATCCACGATCTTCTCGGTGTTTGCGTGTATAAAGACAGCTTTACAATTTTGATGTAACATAAATATTCAATCACTTTCATATTTAAAAATAAGCCCAAAGTTTCAGTCCAGCTTACCGGTCAATAACGCCATCATTCTGTTTTCCTCTTCTCTCCTCTCTCTATTCTATTCCCTCCATCTTGAGATGGGACTGTACCCTGGTCCCAGGTTGGCCTAGATGTACCGTGTGGCTCAGGCTGGCCTCCAGATCATGGCAGTCCTCCTACCTCGGCCTCCCACTTTCCCTCCATTATAGACACACACTTCCGTGCCCAGCTTCAGTCCTTTGAATGTTTTCCCTTCAGACTGGGGAGATTGATTGGTCAGTGATCAGAGCACTGACTGCTCTCACCGAGGACCTGGGTTCGATTAACAGCACCTTCATGGTGGCTCACAACTATCTGACTCCAGTTCCAGGGGACCTGATGTCTTCACAGAGATGTGAATGTAGGCAAAACACCAATGCTCATAAAAATAAATGAATAAATGTTCCCCCTCCTTTTGAATGAAAAGTGTTTGATGAGTTAAAGACTTCAGATTTTTTCTCTAGTGAAGGGTCACACTGGTAGAAAGTGACCAGGTTGTGCTACAGGATGTGTGTATTTTATTGTGCCAATCTAGGCTTGTGCTGGAAGGGATGTCTTAAAACAGAAAGGACAAGATGGCTGAGTCTGTCACCCACCATTCCAGGGTGATGAATTAACTTTACTCTGAGCCCATTTCTTTCTGGTCCCCTGATAGTTCTGTCCTGGGTGTAATGCACTTTCTGTTCTCCCGCAGAAAGACTCGAGCTAGCAGGAGTCTGCAACGTCTCTGCCTTGCTGGTCCTCGCTGATGACTGGTTCACGGGAGCATTGAGCATAGCTCAGAGCCATTGGTAAGTAGATGCTGTCCCACCCTCCTGCCTGCTCATTGTCCAGCTTTTTAACAAATGCAGCCTCCTCTGCCTCCACATGCATGTGTACAAGCACGCACAGACACACACACAGTGTAGAATCTTAGAACTTTAAGGTTTTAAATCATAGTACATTTCAGTTGAGTTCTTTAAGTTTTTAAATTTAAATGTCACTGGAAAATAGTGGTGATTTTATAATAAATAATTTATAATATAAATAGGTATAAATGAAGTGATTTCGAGAGAAGGTAACTTACTGATGGTAAAAGTCATGAGCACATTTTCCTTATCATAATCTCGGGCAACATAGTGATGCTTAAGTGTAGGTGTCAACATGTTTGAAGCATTCTCCTTTATTAAAATGCAAATATGTAGGTGAGGCAGTTGCTCTAACACACAGAAGGTCAGGTCAGCTGTGGCTCCGAGAGTGTCTTTCCATGCTGGGTAGGCTTTGGTTAACCTGAGATCCGTGGCAGTCTAGAGGACATGGTGCTGATAGTTGTATTTGAAAATAGTGGTTCTGTTACGTTAATGTAGATAAGATTACAGTCTTTCTGGACTTGTTTCTTAATCACAGGGAACAGGGGGAAAGACCCTGGCCTTTCCAGTTAAAGAACAGCCAGTTATCTCTATAGCAGTGACTTCTCAGAAATGGCCCCGTTTCTTCTGTCCTATTCTTGGAAGCTTTTTTGACGAGACTAGTAAACCACGAGGCTGCCTGAGAATCTTCTTTTGGACTCTTCAGTTAATAACGAAGAGTAGATATTTAAGGTAGTTCTCATTTTACTGGGTTGGTTAGTTTGGGCCAAATCATAATGCTGTCTAGTATGATGGCCACTTGCCCACATGTAGTGCCTGAGCATTGAGATGTAGTGCTGCTTGAGATGCGTTCTGCATAAGTTCCAAGTATTTAATATAAAACGAGCATATCGTAGGGAATGGCGGTGCAGGCCTTTAATCCCAGCCCTTGGAAGGGGCAAGTATATCTCTTTGGGTTCCAGGACAGCCTATTCTACATAGTGAGTTCCAGTACAGTCAGGACTACATAAAGAGACCATAGCTGAAAAAAACTAAAAATAGAAATAAAACAAGACAACAATAAAAAACCCACAATATTTAAAGTTTTATGAATAATAAATGTTGAAATAACCTTTCTGATATATTGAATTAAGTAAAAACATTTAAAATTTCACACCCTCCACCCCCGTCTTAACATGTGAAAGGTAGATGTTTGTCTCTTCTCCCTTGCTTTTTTATTTTTAAGGTAGAATTTTGCTGTGTAGCCCCGGCTATCCTTCAGATCTTTTGCCTCAAACTCCTGAGTGCTAGATTACAGGCATGTGTTAACATGCTTGGAGTAGAAAATTTTAATTATTTGTACTGTGAATTTATCTGCCCCTCTTTTTGTCCTTATTTATTTATGCATGTATGTGTATATGCGTGTATGTATGCATTTGTCAGGGTATCCCTGACTGGCCTGGAACTCATGACAATCCTCTTATCTTGGCCTTCCAAGTTCTAGATTATAGTCTTGTACCACCATAGTCAGTTTTGAACTGTATCTTTTTTGATGAGCTTATCTCTGTCATCATGTATGGTCATTCTTAACCTTCCGTTCTTTAGTGTTCTTTACTCCCAGCTTTCTTGCCTGCATGGATAAGTCATATAAATCTGTATTTGATTACTATGATTCTTTGATTCGCCAAGTGTTTATTGAATTCCCACCATGTGCCAGATAGTGTTGTAGGTGCTCATGGCACAGTATCAAGCAGAACCCCATTTGTGGAACATTCGAGATACAGATATAGAAGAGATGAACAAGTGAAATTTGTTTTATGCTGCAGCGTGAAGTTTGGAAGTCTGCAAGGCAGGCAAGGGTTGGGTACTCCGTGCTGTGTGAGGTGATTTCAGGAAGGCTTTCTTCACTGAGATAGGGCTCCTGGGCAGACATTGACGACAGAGAAGGAATCCTGTGGGAAGAAAGTGGGACGGGAGTGGTAGCAGAGATTTTAGGACCCAAGGACGACAGGTTCGCCTGAACAGGAGGGAGAGGCTGGAGACAGGAGTGGAGTGAGGGAAGAGTGCAGACGGACGTTTGTTCATGCACACAAGCAGTGGTTACACTTAGGTTTGACCTGATGAGATGAAAAGGAACTGGTGGATTTCGGAGAGAGGCAAGAGTGCCTGCTCTCTGGGGCTGCTGTCATTGGAGTGCTTTGGGGTCAGGGCATTTACAGGGGAAAGCAGGGTATTCCAGGGTAGATGTCACCAGCAAAGGTGAAGTGGTGTTGGCAGAGCCAACAGGGATGGGATAGTGACTGAACAGTGTGGTACTGTAGAAGTCAGAAAAGCTGCTTGTGCAGGGCAGCTGATGGGCTAGATCAGATGGAACCTGAGGGCGGATGGTCACTGGATTGAGCTACAGTGGCAAGATCAACAAAATGGGCAAGGATAATTGGGAAGCTGCTAAAAATCGAGTGTAGACCCTTTTGAGTCAAGAAGAGCCAAGGAAGTTGTTTTTCACAGATGAGAGAAGTCAACACCTTTCCCAAGGCAGTTATTAGGTTTTTCTGAAATGGCTCTCCAGATGGTGACATTGAGGCCAGCACCTGTGTGAGTAGGCAGGCAATGGGAACAGAGTACCCTCTGAGGTGTCATAGGTTTGCTCTGGAGTTGCAGGGGGACGGAGTGAGAGGCTGGCCCTGATGCCACTAAAGATTGCCTTGCAATTATTATGAAATTTAGCTTCATTTCTCCTGGCCGAGTGCCATTTACATTCTGACAATCAAAATTCTCAAGGAACAAATGTTAAAACTAGTTCTTGTCAACAAGAAGTGCCAAAAGACTGGTACGTGTGGAATAATTCCCTTTCCTTTATTTTAAAGGAGTTATCAAGACTTCTGAAGAAAGGCAGGCTGAGACATGTCCAGAGTAGCAGAAAATAAATCATCGCCTAAACATTAGATAATGCAGATTTAATTTAAGAGTGTGTAATGTCTTCATTTCATTGTTCTAAGGGGTGTGTCTGCTGTACCTGTGACACCTTTGTGAAGGCCAAATGGTCTTCACAAAGTCTAGTGCTCAGGGAGTGTTTTGAAGTGCTCACTCGTAAGAAGAAAACTTCGAGGATAAGTTTAGTTGGAGGTTTGTTATTGCATCTGTAATAACTGGGGAAAGTGGAAGCTGACAGATTCTGGGCTGATCATAACTAATCCACAGGCATGCTAATGGGACCTTTCTCGGATGTGGTGCTTTGACTTAGAATGGCCCCATAGGCTCACATATTTGAATACTTAGTCACCAGGGAGTGGGACTCTGGTAGGATTAGGAGGTGTGGCCTTGGTGGAGGAGTGTCACTGGGGGAGGGCTTTGAGGTTTCAAAAGCCCAAGCCAAGCCCAGTGTCCCTCTCTTTTCCTCTCTGCCTGTTCATCGGGATGTAGCCCTCAGCTCCTGCTTTAGTGACTGCCTATATGTTGCCATGCTCCCCACCATGGTAGAAAAGACTAAACCTCTGAAACTGTAAGCAAGTCCCCAGTTAAAGCCTTTTTTTTTGTCCTAGTGTCTCTTCATAGCGGTAGAACAGTGACTAAGACATTAAGCTTTACTAACGACAACACAATCAGTCCTGTTTGGTCATCCTGGAGTTCTGTGGCCAGAGTTTGCACTGAAGTCCAAGCAGTCAATCAGTTTATCCCCAAAAACCTCAGCATTTCAGAACATCTGCTATTTGGGTCCCAGAAGGTAATATTAGCTGGCATGGTGCATGGAGTCATTCTCCCTGTGGAAGATGCTCAAGTTAGGGTGATAAGTTTTATATTTCAGACTTGGAGAGCAAGCTATATTTCATCCCTGGGATAGAACTAGAGATACGCTTTATTTTCATAGCACAGTCCTCCTTTATTCAGAGGAAATCCTTGGAGACAGGAAGCAGTAGCTAAGAGGGGCCCAGAGGCCCCTTCTGTCTGGGGCTGCCCATTGTCTGCACTGAATCAGGAATCAGATTCTGGAGTTCGGCCATTTTGCCTCTGAATACCCTCATATCTAAACTAGGAGATTGCACTTCAGTGTCTTTTGGGTAGAACCCTACATTTTATTTTTTTTGAAGAGTATTTTGTATTTTTCAATGGTTTCGTGCATTCATGCAGTATATATTGGTTGCATGCACCCCAACTCTCCATCACTTTTCCTGATACCTCCCAACACATCCTTGTCCTACCTTCCTGTCATTTTAATGAAAAATCCATAATTTAAGAAAAAGTCCCCAGTGTAGCACAAATGGAAGAAAATGATTTAGAAACAGCTGTCTGACTGAAATGCACCAGGCCAGTGTTTCCTAGTCACGTACCCTAACCCTTCCTCTGCCTCCAGGTGAATCCCCCAAAGAATGGAGATTTATCATATGCTCATATTTTTCAGGCAGTCAAAAGGTTCCTAAGACATAATTAAGATTAATGAGTAGCATGGGGGCTGGTGAGATGGCATAGTGGTTAAAAACCTAAGTTGCCTTTCTAGGTTTGATTCCCAGCACTAACAGCCATCCCATGTAATTCCAGTTCAGGGGGATATGATGACTGCTTGGGCCTCCATGGCACCAGGCACAGGCATACAAGCTGGCAAAACACCTATCCACATAAAATAAACATTTTTAGTATGGCAGTCGGGGATGTCTAACCCACCTCTGAAGAGAGGAGGGGCATGCATGGTGACTTGGGAAGCCTGTAGGAAGGGATTAATTGTCCTTTGTGGATTTTCTTGTTTTAAGGAAGACACTCACAAAGTGGAAGAGGCTAGCATCAAATAAGGACCCCCCCCCCCCCCCGCCTCAGCCTCCCAAATGCTGGCATTGTAGATAGGCATGCACCACTCTGTCCACCTTGGGAATTGCATTTTTGAAGCATTGGATGACTGGGCTTTTGGCCAAGTTAAGAGGAAGTTCCCAAAGGCTCATGCTGGAACCTTGAGGTTAAAGGTGAGAAATGGA